CTTTTGACTAAGCAATTCCACTGCTGGGAATATGCCCTAAAAATCCCAAATCACCAATTCAAAAGAACCTATGCACCCCATGTTCATAGCAATGCTATTTACAATAGCCAAGTGCTAGAAACAGCCTAAGTGCCCATCAGTAAATGAGTGGATCAAAAACCATGGTACATTTACACAATGGAATTCTGTGCAGCAGAAAGGAAGCACTCCTACCTTTTGTGACAGCATGGATGGAACTAGAGAATATTATGCTGAGTGAAATGAGTCATTTGGTGAAAGACAAATATCGTATAATCTCACCTATAAAAGGAATATAATGAACAAAATACACTAAAGGACAAATAGAACCACAGACATGTAAACATAGAACAAACTGAAAGCTAACAGATGGGTGTGGAGAGGGGGGATAATGGTGGAAAGACAGGGAAGGGACTAGACAAAGAACAGGTATGAATGACCCAGGGACATGGACAACAGTGTGGGAATTGACTGTGGTAGAGGGGTGTGGATGGGTGGAGGAGGGCAAAGAGGAAAAATTGGGACAACTGTAATAGAATAACAATAAAAATACAAAAGAAAAAAACACAGTAGCAATACCACATCCTTTGCCCTCTGTCCCCTCATACTTGACACCTAGTTGCCACAACTTTTACTGTCTCTCCACTTATATTTATTCCAACTCCATATTTACAGACATATACACAAGTTGCATTTCATTAATTGTGTGATAATATTTTTTTAACTTTATGTAATGAATTCTAAGCCTACACCTTTGGTTGACATTGTTTTTACCACCTTCTTGCTAAATGAAGAATTTTTATCAAATAAGTTGGGAGGTTTATGAGTTTTAATTTTCTCAGTTTTGTCACTTTATCTGAACAGTTTAAAATGGAGACATCACAGTAGGAATGGATGTAGAATCAGCTAGCACTTGATTTCTGTCCATTCATTTAAGGTAATGAGGTAACACACTTCACATGTTAGGAGTGCACTAGAGCAAATGGATTTTCTGTTGCCTCGACTTAAAAATCAATTCTGTGCTTTTCAAAAGCAGCATTTGATTTCTTAGAAACATTCTGTACCATTGTCATTATTGTAATGAGGGGTTAACTAACTTGAAAAGAAAGATAACAGTCCTCAAATGTCTTTTCTCTTCCATGGGTTATGACTGAGGCATTGAGATAGGGGAATACAACTTCATTAAAATTTCTATTTAGACCTTGTCATAGCTAATCTTATTAGACCACATTTTATCATTATCTTTTATGTTGAGTTGTTTCAATGTCTCTACCACAAGCAAAGCATAAATTGATAGCTTCTATAAGGTTCCAGAATAAATAATTTTACATTGCTGAAGTCTTATTCTTAAGTGCTAAAGTTCTTTTTAAAAAATACCCCAGTAATTGAATGCGACATATGAAAATCAAATTTTAATGATCTCAATGGGGAAGAAATACTTTTAAGATACATGTAACTCAAATTCAGATCTCTGTGGGTTTCTAAATTTAGGTTGCTGCATGTGACAGATGCTTTAGAATTCAATTTGCATTAGAATCAAATAGTTCAAAATACAGCTGCTTCTGGCAAGTTGAGACCTGGAAAGCTGAGCCATCCACCACCAACTGACTTGAGAAACTTTCAGCAGAAATAGTATGAGTCTGTAAATCATAATCTGGCTAAAATAACTTACATTCCACTTCCATCAGAACTTTTTAAGACCAAAGATGCTTAAAAGTTGATGGTAAAACCTTTTCCACTTCAAGAGGAGGTATTTTGGAGGGACTTGATGATGGTCTCTGATATTCACTATACAGGATGGATGTCCTGACTTCTAATACTATACTTTGGTACTGAGAAAACCAGTTGATAAGTGTCTGTTAGCTCTCTCTTTTTGTGCAGGAATCTGTGGAAAGCATTGTCTTTAAGCTTTAAAGATATCTTCAAAGCATAATCTTTACCCCCCACACAGAAAGAAAATGTAAATTTATGAAGAGTATTTAAATATACATATAAATACTAATAACAAGTTATCAGTGACTGCTGTAGACCAGGGTGCCTGTCCTTTCAAGCACAGAGAAAGTGGTTCAGCCAGGTGGTCGTTGACATCTTTTCTAACACTGAATGCCCTTCATTCAAGGAAATAGCATTTCCTGTTTTGTTTTTCTTATATGTCTTGTTCTTCTGTTATAAGATTCTATCTTAAACTCTTTAAAAATATAAATAGAAAAGCACTTTGTAATTGAGGAAATTACTGATAAAATTTCATAAAACTGCAGACTCACTTTTGCTGGGTCATTAGGGAATGCCGTCTAAAGGAAATTAGCGTTGTATTATTACAGAGACAGCTGTGAGTCCTCAGTTTCTTCCTTTGGATGCTTCCTGAGTCATTAAGGAAGACAGTATAGAAGTTACTGTTTGGGGGGACATAGGGGTAGGGTCACTCTGAATTCCAGTTTGAATGTGTTGGGTTTTAGCTGTCTGTGAATTGTGTCCAAGGGCAGATGTTTAGAAGGGAACCGAGGAAGCTACGGAGGGCATTGCATGGAACATGGCTTTAGCCTTGAGGGCATACGAGATCATGCAGCTGACTTGTTAAACTTAAGAACATTAGCCCTGACCTGTATGGCTCAGTTGGTATGTCATAGTCCCACTGAGCAAAAGGTGTCCGGTCTGATTCCCGGTCAGGGCACACGCCTGGGTCGCAGGTTCGGCCCTCTATATGAGAGGCCTCCAATCAACGTTTCTCTCTTGCATCGATGTTTCTCTCCCTGTCTTTCTCCCTCCCTTCCCCTCAAAATAAATAAATAAATAAAAATTATTTTTAAGAAAATAACATTAGAGAGCTGGGCATAGAATTAATATTTGCACTTAAGGGATGGATGTATTGAGATGACTAGTGTGTGAAGGAACAATCAGAAAGGGTGCAATAAAACATCAAAGGATACGTTTTAGGAAAAATGGTGCTTAACCTTGTAAACTGGTGAATGAGGTCAGGAAAGGCACCTGGGCATGTACTGGTATTGTGGTAATGGTGGTGATCATGATAATTGTAACCATTATTTAGAAGTGCCTCAATATAAAAGACCCAGTTCTACGTTAGTTACTAAGAGACCTGAGCTGTGATTCTAAGTAGTTGCTTCCTGACCTTGTAGCATAACCCTTGTGAGCCACAGTTTTCTCACTTATTAAATGAGATGATATAATCTGTACTCCCTACTTCAGAAAGTTGCAAATCACATGAGATAAAAATATGTGAACAACTGTACTTGAACAACGATTAAAAAAATAAAATAGACATTTTTAAAAATCTAAAATGTAACCCTAGTTTTATATAATGTTTACTTTTTTCTTGATCTCCCAGTTGTATTAGAAAATGTCTTCAAGTCTTTCAGTTGGGAAAAGGTTATTTTGAATTTAAAGAGAAGTCATTTAGGTACGAAATATCATTTAAAATATTTTCTGTGGAAATGAATATTCATGAATTGTGCCAGAGGGCAATTTTAGCAGTATGTTATTCAGAAATAATTTTAAAGTCACAAACTACCTAAAAATAACCATACTTTAGTATGACAGAGTGATTGAAAGAATATTGTCTGTGGCCAGAGCTGTGTATTGTGGGGACTATTGGGCTTTGTTAGTCACCTTGGTTTGCTTGCGGTCAGGATCCCTGATGTGGTTAACCCCGGGAACTTCTGCTTGCAGGCAGTCATTCCATGCTTACATTTGTGTTGTGAGGAACTATTTCTACTTTTTAAAATAAATTGTTTCTTATGCTAATTTTAATTGTAAACATCTGCTCAATATTCTCTGTGTAAGTAAGGTTTTCCCCAAACCAAGGGATTATTGGGTTGAAGACTAAGAGTTCTCTCTAAAACCATTCATTACTCTATGAACTTCAGAAACTATGCATAAAGATTTTTAAATTGTATCACCTTAACACCAAATGATGGCTAAAGCTCCCAGTCGTGCTGCAGTGCCCCACTCTGCGTCATTTGGGGCTGTCGTCTAGTAGGAGGGCCACAGCAGCCTGCAGGACGGGGGTCAGTGCCGTTTCCCGGAAGGATGGCCATGGCCGCATCGGGGCTGTTTGGCCTCAGCGCTCTGTGCGCTGCCCTTCAGTCTCAGGCGGGCCGCGGGTCACCGTCTGAGTTACACGGAGAAAGTTTTAGACTGCAGGGTATATTGATGAATTTATACAAGTACAAATTTGGCATTCTTACCAAAAAGTGTTTTCTTCATCAAATGGGTTGAAATGATTGGTCTGTGTGGGGCAATGGCAGTATTGCACGTGAGGTGTAATTGATGTTAAGGGCTCCACCTTAGCCATTTTGTCTTTTTTAGCCTTTCCTGTTTCACTTCAGCGGGAATTTCTTTAATTCCTTAAAAATTCCTGGATTGCTGTGTCAGAATTCCAGTAGAGGTTCTTCTATTTACGTGTGTATTTGCATTGCTTTTACAAGTGCTGTTTAAAATCTATATAATGCAAGCTGATTGTGTAACTGTAAGTTGCCTAGGATCCACACTGTGTGTGTGTGTGCATGTGTGGTGAGTTTATATATGTGAATAGATAGGTACTATTAACATATGGTCAAATTAATTTTACTAATATATCTTATCTAAACCTACCTTTCCAAAATATATCATTTCAACATGGAATCAACATCGCAAAATTATGAAATTTTTACTTTTTTATACTTTCTTCAAAATCTGATCTGTATTTTATACTCACAGCACATCTCATTTGAGACTCACCATATATATTTTAAGTGCTAATGGGACAGTGTAGGCAGGCCTCTAGATTATAAATAGATATAAATAGATCTAGACAGTGGGTCTGTGACTTGTTCAACACACCTGGGACATATGGTATTCCCAGAAATTAACCATAGGTTTCTTGATGGTGGGAGGCAAGTTATTCTTTCATAATACCAAAGCTGGAAGTATATCTATTTCACATAAATGAAAATGTACCCAATTTACAGAAGTGCTATGCTTTACAGAGAGAATGGCCCTGGGAAGTATCAAAGAGGGAACCCTGAAAATCAAAGAAGAGCCATCTAAAATACTGTCTGGAAACAAATTTCAAGATCGGTATAGTGTTTTACGAGATGGATATCTCTTTCTTTACAAGGACCAGAAGGTATTTGTATAAGTAGCATTTGATTTTTTGTGTGGGTATTCACATTTATAATTTTATACCTCTCTCAGCCCTTTGTCTTGGAAGTCAAGACCTAGAGTAAATAAATAATATGCATAGTAAGCTGATGATTTCTTTCAACCCCTGAGATATGCCATTAATGTACTCAGTAACACAGTGGAGAACTCCATATATGGCCTTTCTGAGCACCTCACATGTTTTAGGGCAGAGAATGACTTCGGTCCTAAAGAGAAGTCTAATATGTGTTACATAAACTAGCATATAAATCAGCATCTCAGTCAAGTTGACTGAGAGTTACGCGTCACGCCCTAAACACAGGTGGCAAACACAAGACCCGAGGGCCGAAACCGGCCCCCGACCTCGTTTTATCTGGCCTGGGACCTTGTTTCTACCTGGTGGCGGTGCCAAGCTCTGACTTACCTGTTGAGGAGTAGTTGCGTTACTAAAATTACATGTGGCCCTTTGCCCGCAACTGGGAGGCCGATATGGCCCCCAGTGAAAATGAGTTTGACACCCCTGCCCTAAGGCAAAAGCGGCCTGAGTTTAGCTCATGGAAATGAATAAATGCAAATTAAAACCCTGAGGTACTATCTTATCTTTAATTTGACTAGAATCAACTAAAATCATAAGAACAACTACACCTAATGTTGACAAGGATGTTGATTAACTGAAAGGCCCAAATTGTTGATGGAATGGTAAAATCACACAATCACCGTGTAGAAATGTTTGGCAGTCTAATTTAGATACATTTATTTGTACATCCACCCCATGACCCAGCAACTCTGTTCCTAGGTACTATGGCCACAAAAGTACTTGTTCAAGAATGTTCATAAGTAGCTTTATTCATAAAAGCTGCAACCTGGAAATATTCCAGGTGATCGTCAGTGTAAGAGTGATAAATTCATACAGTGGAATGCTACTCAGCAGTAAAATAAGTGTGAATACTTACTGTGTGCAGCACATGGAGCGCCCTTTAAATCCCTGTTGAGTAAAAGGAGCTCCACACAACGTAGTGCCCTATGGGTGTGTTGTAAGAAAGCTAAGATTTGGCAAAACCATTCGTGGTGATGGGCGTCTGCCTGGAGTATAGAGGACGTTTGCTGTAGAATTGTGAAGAGTCAGTAGGATACTTCCTAGGATGATAGAAGTAAAAAAGGGTGGAGGTCACATGGGTGCCTGCAGTGTCATCTCTACTTTCTTAAGATTCTAGAAATACCCATGCAGTTATTTCAAATGCTGAGTGACAGCAGGACCTAGAGACACCTTTTTTTGCGTTGAATTTTAAAATTCACTTGAGCTAAGCATATGCTCTGTTTTGGCGACACACGAAGAAAGACCAGCTATAACATCTGCTAATATGTGATGAAGAGAGAGTCGTTAGGCAGCTTTCCAGAGCTCTGTGGCCCCATTTCTGGGGAGCATCTGCTTAGCTCGCCACACTCTTTGACCACTTTCCTGTATGTTTCTCTAGCAGTGAAGCCTCCCTGGATGGCCATGAACAGATCTTGGTAGTTTTCCTCCTTTGCCTTTGTGTCCCCTATTCGCTTCCTTCAAGGAGAGTGGAATGTCCAGGCAGGAGGGTGGCAGGACAGCATTGAATCCGCAGCACTCGTCCCTCCATTCAGAGGGATGCTAGACTCCCCCTGTGTCGGTCCATCTGATGGAGCCAGCAGGGGGTCCGTGTGGGTACCAAGTTACTGTTTCCTGTCCTCCTCCAGTGTTTCCAGTAGAGGAAGTGTTTCATTACATACCATTTTGTTTTCCTTACAGAGTAGCAAACCCGACAAAATGTTTTCGCTCAGTTCAATGAAGTTTTATCTTGGAGTGAAAAAGAAAATGAAACCTCCAACCAGGTAAAGCTTGAAAGAAAAGGGTGATTGAAAAGTGATGGGAAAGTACGCCTATTCAAGGAATTAGGGACCGGTGGCGTTAGCCTCACTTTTTATAAACTAAGCTTCAGATAAGTTTTTTAAGTAGCTAGATCAAGAGAACATGCAGATAGGGGGGGATGATGTTCCCACTAAAGGCAAGCTCTGGGGGATTAAATATCTCCATGCATCCAGAAATCCCCAGAAGGCCCCGTCCACTGGGGAACACATGCATTGCCCCGCAGCCCGTTCCTTGCACAGTCACAGGCTGGGGGCAGAAGGAATGTTCCAAGCAGGTCTACCCACAGGAAGGTGGACGGCTGCCCTCCACCTCCTCATGCTCCGCTTTTAGAACGTCTTGTTCCTCCTGCTCTGTAATTTCCCCCTTTGCTTTCCCAAATTTGGAAGTAAATGCACAGCACAGAGATGGCAGAGAGGAAGTGCAGTCCAGTTAAACACTGTTCCCTTTAACTCTTGACTCAACCCAGTGTTGGCTTTGCACTGTACTTTCTTACCATCAATTTGATTAGCTAATTAATGTTTGTGCTTATACTCTTAATTTCATGAAACATTATTTTAATGAACTGTATATGATTTGAGATTCTGAAAATTTTCTCACTTTCACCACCATGCTTAATTTATAAGCCCAGCACATATAGATGCCTGTGTTGGAATTGGCACATTCTTTAATTCCTCACACTATGAGCAGGTCAGATGTATAGCATCGTATTTTGGCCGTTTTCCAGGACATCCGGTTTTGCTCAGTCCAGACTGTCTTCTGGGAGATTCCCCCACTGCCCCATAACATCATAGGCTCCTTCCCTCTGTCTCCCTGCAACATAAGTAAATTCGTAGCCAAATTCCTCAACATTTATCATTTCTCTCTCGATAAATCATACCCATTGAATCATCACTTGTGGGTGTCAGTTGTTATGCATTTCTGCCATTAAATGTCACCTTCTTAGTGTGAAGTGTGTCATTTTTAACACGTTGGTGTTTGTTTTTTCCCTGGTGCTGCAGTTGGGGGTTGACGGCATATTCCGAAAAACATCACTGGTAAGTTAACAGCTGGCAATTTCAGGATCTGATAACATTCATGGTAACTTTAGTAAATGAGTGATGCTGTGATCTGGCAGATGGATCTACAGACAGGAAATGTTTCATCTAAGTGAAGTTCAAGTCTTTACTAAATACTAAGCATCTAGGAGAAGGAGATATATTTGCTTTCAGGGTTTAAGTCCATTTCACTCCCATGTATCCTAATTGCCCATATCTCTTAAGGGAAACTAACTGATTTCTTCCCAGTTATTATGGGTGTGGAATCCTGGCTCTTACAGGGTCAGGAGGCAAAGTGCAGTTTTATTTTTTATTTTTTTAAATTTTTATTTATTTATCTTTAGAGGGGAAGGGAAGGAGAGGAGAGAAATATCAATGTATGGTTGCCTCTCATGTGTCCCCTGATGGGAATTGGCCTGCAACCCAGGCATGTACCCTGACTGGGAATTGAACCATGATCTTTTGATTCACAGGCCTGCACTCAATCCACTGAGCTATACCAGCGAGGGCCAAAGTGCAGTTTTAAATAAAGGATAAGAACCAGTGGAAATTGTGTTAAAAGAATCTTGGTCTCAAACCTGTGCACTTTACCCCACCGATGGAGCAGGGTGACTTGCTCCGAGAGATCCCATGAGCTGTATCCTTCTCTCTCACTGACCTCGGTCTAAAGTCACAGACCACACCCCACGGGCCTCTATGGGGTCTCCCTGGCGCACCCACACCCCGCGTGCCCAGGGCCATGCCTCCGTCTGCCCAGTCTTTCGTGCCCCCCCCCAATAAAATATGACTGACTCCCATGTATCCTAATTGCCGAATCAGTGTTATCGGACAGGCAGTATTTATATTTAATTTATTTTTCATGCATCTCATGGGTATTAACATTTATAATCATAATGATGAAGACCATCTAAGCCTTTTTTAAAAAATCTGCTGTTAAGAAAATATACACGTATTTATCTTCTTAGGCTGGGAGGTTCCAGGGAAAAGACATTTTTTTACAATCAAGCACCCGAAAAGCAAATGAGACTGACCCTTCTGCCTTTCCAAAACTATTGCCCAGCACTGTTCAGCAGTTATCAAAACCCCAGCTGTGTTTTGTATAAAATAGAATGTGTACACCACTATTTTGATATTGCGTACTTAACAGAAACCTGAAGCAATTCACACTAAAATACTCCCATTTTGATTGCATTATGTCATTAATCAGAGAAACACAAAGGGATTTCTGGTCCCTTAGTCACCAAATACTCTGAAGAACAGGCTCCCACTTACATGTCTGTAAATGCTGCCTTGCAGGCACCTGTGTTGTGACAGTTCCCAGAACCAGATGGAGTGGATGGCCAGTGTCTTCATCGCCCAGGTCAGTGGTCTGTTTCCTGTCATCCAGTACAGTGTTAAACAGTGGATAAGAAATGATGGTGACTTTCCAGTAACGTTTAATGAGTTTTATGCATCTACTTCTATTTACTCACTTATATATTTTTAAATAGATAAGCATCCAGACTAATCCATGACTCCTAGAAAGAGAGTTGACTGTCTTTGGGGAGGCTTGTTTCCCACCCAGCAGCCCCTTAGCCTGGGAGAGGTGGACGCATCCGGATGCCCGCATAGGAAAGGTGGCCTTGTCTGAGCCGCCGTCCTGCCGCAGACCCCGAAGATCTTCTTTGAGGAAAATGCGTTATTTTCCTTTGTGTTTTCCCAGTGACCGCCCCCCCACCGCCTGTCCACAGACAAGGACGAGAACCTACATTTCTTTAATACTTACTGTTTTGCTAGAAACTTCAAAAAGAGTTAACTCATATTACTTGCAACAAACTCTGCATTACACTGCTCATAGACGAGGGAATAAAGATGAACAAAGTCCACATCATTTGCTCAGGGCCACACATTAGTTACCGGTTTATACCCAGAGGGGCCAGAGGCCAACACATGCCCTAAATTCCTCAGCTAGTGTGCTTCATGGAGGAGGACTCACTTTTTGATTTTTAATGGCTAGGAGGTTTCACTAGTCCCATTAGGGAAATTTGATTTTTTTCCCCAACGTTGTTTGGCTGAATTCCCTGCAGTGCTTCCCACGAGAGTCTTGGAATTCACTGGTGGTGATCTGGTTGCCACTCTCTATTACTGAGGATGTACTTCCCTGTTTCCCTTACAAGAGGAGTTAATTCACCACCCAATCTGGTCATTTGTTGTGAAAATCATTTTCTCTGTTCGTTTAATTTATTATCCTCTCCAGTGGTTAATAAATACCGTTCTTCTCACCCTGATGCTGCTGGTACCACCTGGGAATACATTTGCAGAAAAAGACTGGTTGCTAACTCTTTAGAGACCTGTCTTCTATTTTTTGTGACATTTTAATAATTCAGACATTTAAGTTCCACTTTAAGAAAGTAGATTTGAAGTATTTCCTAAAATTGGAACTGCAGAGTCAAAGACTGTTACACTGTCTCTTTGTGACACCACTACCATAAATTGATTCCTCTTTTAAAAATAATTGAAGTCAGTCAACTCTGTAGTTTAAAATCAAAGTATAAATAGTGGGGAAGCAGAGGTTGCTCTCGGGACCAAGTCACTTCTCCCCACCTCGCCTGCCCATTACCATCTTGTCCTTGGAGACGCAGCCCGGTCACCCTTCCTTGCTCCACATTTCAGGATTCATATAAACACAAAGGTCCTTTTAGATTTAAAGGTTCACCTCCACGGGGACACAGACAGGAAAGTGGCAAATGTTAATATATATGTTAAATACACACACACACACACACACACACACACACACACTTGAGCCAACATTGGTGTCCTTACCATGAGTCTTTCTGGTGCTGGAACACTTCTAATACCCGTCCCCACCCCCATCCTGCCTCACAAGTCTCCTAGGTTTTAGCTCACATGTCACAGTCTCAGAAGAACGCTCTCGTTTTGCCATTAGACCTTCCTGCGGGAACACTGAACACCCTGCACTTCAGTGCCGCGGCACTAAGTAAAAAACGTGTGTATTTGCATATGTCGTGTCTGTCTTTCCCATTAAAACATAAATTCCATGAGAGTACGGACTCTTTGTCAGTCACTTTTTAAATTTTATTTTGCATTTCATTTTTATTTTTTAGTTACAGTTGACATTCAATATTATTTTGCTTTAGTCTCAAGTGTACAGCATAGTGCTCAGACAATCATATATTTCACAGGTGTTCCCCCCAATATTTCTAGTACCCACCTGGCACCATACATAGTTACTACACTACTACTGACTATATTCCCTATGCTGTAGTTTATATCCCTATGACTGTTTTATAACTATCAATTTTTACTTTTTTAATCCCTTCACCTTTTTCACTCAGTCCGTCAGACCCCTTCCCCTTGGCAGTCACTAGTTTGCGCTCTGTATCTACCAGGGTGTTTCAATTTTGTTTGTTAGTTTCATTCATTAGATTCCACATTTCAATGAAGTCACGTGATATTCATCTTTCTCTCTCTCACTTATTTCACTTAGCGTAATATCCTCTAGGTCTATCCATGCTGTCATAAATGGTAAGATTTCTTTTTTTTTTTTAGTGACTAATATTCCATTGTATACATGCACCACTATGTTTATTATCCACTCATCAATTGATGGACACCCGGGTTGCTTCCGTATCTTGTTTGTTGTAAATAATGCTGTAATGAACATAGGAATGTACATGTTCTTTCAAAATAGTGTTTTGGGTTTCTTTGGACATATTCCCAGAAGTGGAATCTCTGGGTCATAAGGCAGTTCCATTTTTAATTTTTTGAGGAACCTCCATGTACTTTTTCACAGTGGCTGCACCAGTCCACATTCCCACCAACAGTGCAAAGGGTTTCCCTTTCTCCATATCCTGTTTGTTGATTTACTGATAATAGTCATTCTGATAGGCCTGAGGTGTAATTTCGTTATGGTTTTAGTTTGCATTTCTGTGACAGTAACACGGAGCACCTTTCCACATGTCGATTGACATTTTGTGTGTCCTCTTTGGGGAAGGACTCTTATTAGATCTGTATTTGTATAAAATAAAAGAGGGAAAGTAAAGCCAGTGCAACTGAGGTAAGGAAGGTCTTTAACTGAGAAAAGGTTCTCAGAGAATGCCTTTCTGAGTAACCAAACGACAGATGTGTCTGAAATGAGGGAGTGAGTAGTGCGGGCATGCCATAGCCTAGCGATCTGTTTTATTTTCCTCCTCCTCCTGTTGGTACTCACCCACAAGGTAAGTAGAATTAGGTTTAACTAGGTTTAGGGCTTTGCCAGGCAAGTATGATGGAGGGAGAAAGAGCACAGCACTTAAAGAGGAGGTGAGTATACTGACTGATCGTGAAATCTAGGCCAGGCTATGAAAGGAATGGGAAGCAACGTGCGAAGTAGAGTGGATTGAAGATCTCAAGGAGCCTAAGCATACTTAGTGTGAATGGGACCAAATTAAGTTGTCTGGGAAGATCAGAGGTCAAGCTCAGGAAGTAAGGCAGACCTCATGTTCCCTGCAGCGTTATTCACCCTCGCCAAGGTATGGACACATCTGAAGTGTCTGTTGACAGATGAATGAATAAAGCAAGAAAATGTGGTGCACACACTATGGAATGTTATTCAGCCTTTGAAAATAGGGAAATCCTGTCTTATGCAACAACGTGGATGAACCTGAAGGCCATTATGCCAGGTGAAATAAGCCAGACTAAGAAAGACAAGTACTGCGTGATCTCACTTATATGTGGAACCTTAAAAAAAAAGTTGAACTCGTAGAAACAGAGTGAAACATGTTTGTTTGCAGAAGGGCAGGAGAATAGGGAGGTTGGTAAAGGGATAGGACACTTTGAGTTAGGAAGTAAGGTTTGACGATCTCATGTTATTAGTGACTATATTTGATAACATTGTATGGTATAATTTACCTTCGCTAAGAGTAAAACTTAAATTTTCTCACCAAAAGAAAAGTAAATATGTTAAGTGTTGACTGTGTTAATTAACTCAATGGGAGAGAATCCTTTCAGGACACATGCATGTATCAAATCATCACACTGTACATGTAAGCATCTTACAATATTATTTCTCTGTTATACCCCAGTAAAGCTGTAGGGAAAGAAAATAAATAGAACGTAGGAGACAGAAATAAAAATTTGGGGGTGTGATCATTGGTTATAATAATGAAAGTATGCCATGCGGTATGAATTTTGAAGTCACTTATACATAACCATAAGTGTTAGAACATATTACTGAGATCTAATGATTTCTGCTGTTGAGGAAAAAAATATTTCTTGGATCAACTCAGTGAGACCTCATTAGCCATTATTCAAAGCATTCTTTATGTCAGGGAAAGAAACAGTGTTTGAAAGTTGCATTTACAATCAGGTTCCTCCACATATCATTTAATATACGTACCGTATATCAGTGAGTAGAAGTGTAAATATAATCCATAGAATGCCAATTTCCCTCAAAGTCAGTTTTCTTCCAGCATTACATGTTGGGAATACCACAATTATGTAATATCAAATTGTTTTATCAAGTTCAGGACCATGATGTAAAAATACTGTGACATTTGTCACTTTCCCTCTGCTTGAAATGTTACATAATCCACTATGGTGGATTTGTTAATGTTTTCCTAAAATTCAAGAGCAAACCTTATGCACATATACTAAGTCTGGTAATAAGTAGGACCTACACGGAGGGCTAGTGAGGATTGAAGGAGAGAATATATGTCATTGATAACCACGAAACCCAGCTAGTTACAGTGTGCACACAGCCAACACTTGTTGAAATGCCTTCCATGCTATAAAATGCTACATTAAAATACCAAGTGCAGCATAAGAACGAGAATCTGTTGAATCTTACGAGCAGAGGAAAATAAGAGCAGGCATTTAGCTATATAGCTTACTGAATGTTTTTCATTTCATCATAACATCTGTAAGCTGCTCATTTTAGAGTTGGTATTTTGTATTTCCTTCACAGATTGTTGTCTGAAAGTCAATTTGCTTTTCCCAACTTCTGACAAGTGAATCTACCCTGAGGAGGAGAAAAATCTTTAAAGATTTTTCTTTTATATACATATCTTAAGGATTTATCACTCGGTTTATATTTTTACCTGTGGATATTTCTCCCCATTGCAAAATTAACTTTTTCTCAGTCATATCTATAATTGCTTAGTGGCCAGAGTATGTAGTCAATAATCTGAGAACAAATGTGCCACACTCTCTGATAAACAGTGATTTTCAGTATAAATGTCTGTGTACAAGGTAACATTTCTTTGGAATTCAATTAGATGAAAAAGTAACATTTTTAAAAAGGTGATAAAGTAAGACTAAGTTTTCTGATAAGCAGACCTGAGATTGACTTGGGCTATATAAGGTCAAATTATGATATTTACATCGAAATTATCTTTGGGGGAGAGAGCAAATGCGAATGTATTTACTTTGATCACGGGCTCTAGAAATGTAGAAGAGTGTATTGTTTTTTTACCACAAAGAAATTTCTTAAACATTTCCCCCCTTTTGGTTTGATAAGTAGTACAGAAGGTATGTATTTGGAACTTGAAATTGAACTGAGACCTCAAAGTCAGTTCATGTAAGAGTTTTGGCTCCTGCAGCGATGCTGCCTCCAGAGCTGACGTCATAATGAACATGGCTTTCATGGAGAGCAGGTCACTTGATTTGTGTGTGTGGAAAGGGAGCCAAGTGACTATGCAACGTGGTTCACACCACATTATAAAGTCACACACCAATGGCAAGAAGTTTTGTTTTCACAGCATGAAAACGATGTGCGGCCACCCGCTGGAAAGGAACGAAAACGCTCTATAACCAAAAACCCCAAAATTGGAGGTTTGCCTCTAATTCCCATCCAGCAGGAGAGAAATGCAACCGACGCCCGGAGGAATATCGAGGTGGGTTATGACTTTATTTCTTTTAGATTAATTATGGCATTTGCTGTCTTCTGTCTTACTGTGATTGAGTGCATTAATGAACTCATTAGCTTCAAAAATTAGAAATAATCACTTTGAAAACCATAAGAAGCAAAAAAAAAAGAAAAAAAGAGCTGAAAAACACCGAGGGGAGAGGAAGGAATAAGGGAAAAAGGGGGAGGGATTTGAGGAAAAGAGAAAGAAAGAGAAGAGGGGGGGGGAAGGGGGGGGGAAGGGAAAAAATGTAAAAAAAAAAAGAAAAAAGAAAACCATAAGAAGAACCACATCCATCAAGAAAACATTATGAATAACCCTATGGCACTGGCACTTTTTTGAACTTTCATATTTGTTTAACTTCTTTTAAATGATTACTTTTAATAATGTCATTGGCTATTTTTGTAAAGATTTTATTTATCTGTCTTTAGAGAGGGAAGGGAGGGAAAGAAACGTCAGCGTATGAGATAAATAATTGGCTTCCTCATATACCTGTCGTGCCCGGAGACCAGGCTGGCAAAGCAGGCTCATGCCCTGACCAGGCACTGAACCAGTAACCATTCGGGGTGTGGGAAAATGTGCAACTCATGGAGCCCCACCAGTCAGGGCTAAAGTTTAGTGCTCAAATTTTTAAAAATATTTGCCCACGCCTATTTTTCCTGAACATTTATCTCATCATAATATTCCTCTTCTCTAAAAGAGTAGTTTTGAAAACATTTTTATTTTCTGGCCCACTTGGTCAGAATAAGACTCCAAGAAATCACCAGATTGTCCCTTCTCCTATTTTGCACTTAACAGGTTTTCTTGGTAATAAACTACCCTGTAAAACTGTGGATTCCTTAGCTAATCTAAATGTGGTGAGGTGGTGACTCAACTTATAGACAAAGAATGTTTCAAAATATTCCAATGCTTGGGGGAAAGTTGAACTCCTAGTAAAACTCCTAGGAGAGTAGACTCTGACGTTGCTGTTAGTAATATTTTTTTGATATATCTCCTTGGGCACGGGAAAAAAGGAGAAGTAAACAAATGGGACTACATCAAACTAAAAAGTTTTTGCACAGCAAAGGAAACCAACAAAATTAAAAGCAACCTGTTGAATAGGAGAAAATATTTGCCAATGACCCATTCAGTAAGAGGTTATTGTCCAAAATATATAAGGAACTCATACAATTTAACATACACAAAAAACCGATTCAGTTAAAAATTGGGCAGAGGACTTGAATAGACACTTCTGCAAAGAAAGCATACAGATGGCTAACAGACATATAAAAATATGCTAAACATCATTAATCATCTGGGAAATGCAGATAAAAGTTATGAGATATCATCTCACTACTGTCAGAATGGCTATCATCAGTAAATCCGCAAACAAGTGCTGGTGAGGATGTGGAGAAAAGGGAACCCTCATGCACTGTTGGTGGGAGTGAACACTGTTGGTGCAGCCACTGCGGAAAACCGTCTGGAGGGGGTCTTGAAAAAATTGAAACTAGATCTGCCTTTTACCTGAAGAAATCTGGCATTTATCTGAAGAAATCTAAAACACTACTTCAGAAGATACTTATGTCCCTATGTTCACTGCAGCGTTATTTACAATAATCAAAATACCAAAGTAACCTATGGGTCCACTGACAGATAAAAGGATAAAGAAGATGGGTACATATATGTAATGGAATACTCCTCAGCCATAAAACGTGAAACCTCACAATTTGGTACTACATGGAGCAGACTCAGAGGGTATTATGCTAAGAAAAGTAAGTCAGAGAAAGACAGATACTATATGATTCCACCTACATGTGGAATCTAAAAAAATGAGCTAAACAGAAACAAACTCATAGCTACAGAGAACAAATTGGTGACTGCCAGGTGGGAGAGGATTGGGAAGATGGTTGAAAAAGTGAAGGGATTAGAAATATAAATCACCAGTTATAAAAGCAGTCATGGGGATTGAAGTGCAGCACAGGGCATATAGTCAGTAACATTGTAATAAGTGTGAACGGTGCCAGGTGGGTACCAGACTTACCGGGGTGATCACTTTGTAAGGTATATCAGTGTCACATCACTAGGTACACCTGAAACTATCATGGAGGGAAAATTTTTTTTAATGAAAATGTACTTCCAGACCATTGCAGGTGTTGTAAAAGTGAATTGCCAGTGCCCCTAGGCCCTTATACTTTACTAAATGAATGTGTGCTCTAATCCACTGATACAAAAGTGTGTGTGTGTGTGTGTGTATACACACATTGAATTTTTAAAAATGTGCAATTCTCATAGATATGTGGAAGGAAGGATTTCACTAAATATTTTGGGAGGAGAGAAAAACACGAAGTTGAACAGATTTCTATCATAAAACTGAGCATCCTCCATATGCTAATAATATTAACTATTAATGTTAAATTTAGTGTGCTAACATGTGGATCTCAGAGAGAGGCTGTGGTCCAGGCAGAGCATTTCCCTGACTCACAGGCCACAGAGACCTCCTTTCTTTTAGTTCTGTGAGTACAATACTGTACCCACCACAGAGACTTGAACATGTGATGCATCCCAGCAGAAGTGAATTAGAAGAGGCAAGTTCAACATGAGAGTCAGTTCACATACCTAACCTGAAAGACATCTTCAAAATGCTGTGTTAAATGTATGTTAAAACGAATTGCCATGGTCTACATTTTAGTTGATTTCCTATCTCTCAGATCACTATATAAATTCAGACAAGTCCCCTGTGTCAAAGTAAGGTTAGAACCTAAGTCATAGAAATAAGCTCTAACATAAGAAGCATCAACTTTTAAACGGAGTTTATCTTTTCAGTGTAAATCGTGCCAAACCTTGCTTTCCCGTGCGACATTTTATCTTATTTTAGAGCGCGAGAGCAGAACTGGAAAAGCTGCGGCTCAGAGAGAAGGGCGACCAGGTGTCTGGGGACAGCACCTTGAAGGAGAGAGCTTCCATGGTGGCCCACTGCCTGGAGCACAGGGACGACAAACTTCGAAGTCGAACCCGAAAACATCGGAGCTTCAACTGTCTGGAGGATACCGAGTCCGAGGTCTTTCTTGGACAGCAAAAGTGCCTTAGAGGCTTAAAGATGTCGGGGAAGGCTGAGGACAGAAATGGCAAAGCTCCTTTGGATCCAGACAAAAAATTGCCCTCCAAGGTCATTGAAGAACTTAGTGTGGTTCTGCAACGGTCAAGAACCCTTCCAAAAGAATTACAGGGCGAGCAGATCTTGCAGAAAGACATAAAATGAATTGTAAATTTTTTAAATATTGTGTATGATGTTTGCGCACAAATTGGAAACCAAACTATACAATAACTTGTGGTTTGTGAGATTTGTCTAGCTCAATGTAAGCATTTAAAGAGCATCTTAAAATATGTATATACGTGGTAAGTGTAAGATTAACTTTATTTTGGTCTGCAGAAAGCTTGTACAGGTTCAAGTGTATTAACTTTATGTAAAAAGGCATTGGCTTACTGTGAGTGGCCAGCCTTTCAAAGTAGTTGTCTGTTAGTGGTATAATTTATGAGCAGAAGTATCAAATTGTACTGTATTGTATAAAATGCTGTTTAAATGAAGCCTATGAATATATGCGTAACACATTTTGCACTTTGAAAACCTTGTACATTAAGTTAAGTTTTTAGGTTTACATGGGTTCTACCTTCGGGAAAACAGAGGGGTGAGTTGAAAATGGGGGAGGATTTATTTCCATGACTGCCCGTCATACAATACTGGAGTTCCCAAAAGAGGAAGACATTAACAAACATCTTAAAAACTAAGGAGGTCAGTTAGGATTTATCCTAGTTCACTGTTGAGAAACTGCATATTGATAAGATGCCCGGTGACCAGTCATTTCTCAAGAACAGTATGCATCCAACACATGCGTGTTGTGGCGCTGGCCGCTCGAATTTCACGTGAGTGCACCGGCCGCAGGGCACACTCACTACCCTCCAGGTCCTTGTAGCTGGCCGCTGGGCAGAGATCCCGTGTGCACCGGGCCTGGCAGGGATGCTCTGCTCACTGAGGCTGTGTGCGAGAAAATCCTGTAAAGGGTTCCTTCCTTTTGTTTTGGTACGACAGAGTTCCTCATCACAGGGTTTTGTTATTGTTGTTCTGCTTTGTTATTGTTTACTTCGTGTTGGTTTACTTATTTCTTGTTATTTTCAGTGAGGCTGCAGTGTGTGTCTGCACTGTCAGAGTTAAGTGGGTGTGTAGGGAGGTGGGAGTGGGGGGTGGGGAGGGGGGAGGGGGTGGTTCTGAGTGGGGTGTGGGGGACTGTTTAACTCTGCTGCAGTCCTCTCCTCTCTGTGCCTAATGCATAATGACCAAGTTCTCTATTCCACCTACGATCAGCTACCGAGTTGGTGAATTTTCCCAGGGCAGACAATACTAATTGTAGTTCATGTTAGGGGTGGCACTTTCCAGCAATTTCTTTAGAACCGTATCCTATCTGCTGAATTTGAATTAAAAATTACTTTATGTAGCTAAGCTTTATTCCTAGAATTTCTCTTTTTGTCTCTTCTATTTTACAGGTGTCTTTCATGTCAGAATTTGTATGCAAAGACCCATTCTTTGGTCAGTCCAATTGGTTCATTATAAAATACTGATCACATATTTTCATTCGCCTTGTATGGTATTTACAGGTTGGGATCTTTTTTTTAAAGAATAAAAAGCTGCAGGTCAGTTTATAAAATGGGTGGCACTACTACAGAGCCTTCATGGTATTTAGAAGAACTCTGAAATAAACTCCTATTCCTAATAAATGAAATATTTATGTTACAAAGTAAGGAGGCACATGAAAATGCATGTTTGACAATGGTGTACCATGAGAAGACTGTCTGGAGTGCCTGCCCTTCTTATCTGAATATTTTTGAAACTTGGGCTTAAAATCGAAGTTTCTGTTTCTCTCCTTCCCTGTACAATGTTCCATTTCCCACATGTAAGATAAGGGCTACTGAAGACATCTCATATATTTTGAGTACAAATTAAAATTGTTTTACTAGTCCACCTGAATGTGACTGTCTCTGTTATTTCCAGAGTTGAAAGTTGTTCTTAGGAATTGTACAGTTTCTTTCCTTTCCCCCTTTTTAAAAAATAAGTGAATTTAATATATACTTAAGACTAATTCTGTCATTTTCTCAAGTACATCAATACAAATACTGCTTTATTTTTAGAGGATGACTGTATGCAGACCTGACATAAATAAATGGATGGCATTTTAATCTTCACTTCTATGGCCCTGAAGTTAATTGCTAGACATGGAATTGCCATATATTCCAGCAATTCCACTTCTGGGTATTTATCCATACTCTAATGTAAAAAGACATATGGACCCTGTGCTAATTGCTACGTTATTTACAATAGCAGGATATGGAAACAACCTAAGTGTCCATTGATGGATGATATACATACATACAATGGAATGCTATTCAGATACAAAAAAACAGAATAAAATCTTGCCATTTGTGACAACATGAATGAACCTTAAGAATGTTATCCTAAGTAAAATCAGAGAAAGACAAATACCACATGAGATCACTTGTATGAGGAATGTACAAACAAGTAAACAAACCAAGCTCATAGATTCAGAGAATAGATCAGTGGTCTCTAGAAGCAAGGTTTGGGGGTGAGGAGAATGGGGTGAAGGGGATCAAAAGGTACAAACTCCAGTTATAAAATAAATAAATAGTTTCTTTTATTATGGGATGTAATGTACAACATAGTGACTATAGTTAATACTCTATTGGACATTTGAAAGTTGCTAAGAGTAATTCTTCAAAGTCATTGCAAGAAAACTGATTTTTTTATAACTGTATAGAGACAGGTGTTAACTAGACTTATTATGACAATAATTTTGCAATATATACAAAAATCATTGTTATACACCTAAAACTAATATAAAAATATGTCACATATCTCAGTGAAAAAAAATAAAAAGATAAAAATAATCTGCTCCACAACCTCAGCTCAACCTAGTCCTTGATCAAATCAATGTGATCAGCCTCTCCTCTAACGAAAGATAAAAACAGTGTATCCTCTGCAGAGAAAGACAATATTATCTGGCGTTTCAACAATTTTTTTCACTGTCTGGCACTTTTAAAAAACATTTAAAGAGGTAGGACCCTGTGAACAACAAAACCAAGAGGAAAAATATAAACTGAAAGAGATCTATAAGTGAACACAATATTAGAATTACCAAACAAGGACCCAGTGATGGCTGTGATTAATGTTATCAAAAAAACACAGGGAAAAAAGAAAATACAGGAAAAGTTGGATAGTTCTGCCAAAGTGTTGGAATCTAAAAAATGAAATGGAAATTCTACAATTGAAGAATAAATTAAGTGATGTTAAAAAATAAATGGGTTTTATAAAATAATAGACATTTTCCAAAGTAGATTAATGAATTGGAAGAGAGGTTAATAAATTATATACCTCCAACTAAACACAGAAAAGTAAATTGAAGATAGAGCAGAAAGAGAATGTGGCACACTGAAAAAATCTAAAATGCCTGTGATTGGATATCCAGAAGGGGAGGAGACCATCCATAGAGAGGATGATGGATTTCTCAAAACTGCTAAGAGATGTCAGCCAAAGGATACAAGCTCTCCAAATTCTAAGCAAGGTAAATACAAAAAGAACCACACATAGTAACATTGGGGAAATTATGGAAAAAAATCAAGAGGGACCTTTTAATTAGAAAATAAGGAAACACTAAATTTAAAGTAATGCAATGCAATGATAGTGGCCTATCATCATAAAAGAAGAAGGGAAGGTGGTAGATATAAGGCCAAATATAGCAGTACTTTTACCTCAAATGCACACACTTAAAAGTTTTGATTAGAAGCAAACAGCAACAAAAACATGCATGTTTGCTGCTTTTAAAGTCTCATTAAATATAGACACATGTTGAAAGCAAAAAGTTGAAGGAATGATATAGTGAGAAGCTCATCTAAAGAAAGCTGGTTTCCCAATATGAACATAAAGCAAACGACTTAAAGGCAGGAACCTCCACATCAGAGAGGGGCATTTCTTATAAAGGAAGATATTAATGAATAAAGATCCTTATGTCTCTCATACAATTGTAATTCAAACTTCAAAGACCAGGATCCAACTCACCCTGTAAGAAGATGCCATCTGAACAGGTGAGAGGCCAGTGCACCCTACTGCACGGAACTGTGACCTGATTGAAGCCATTGCAGCAAGTCTCGGAGTGTTCTGCTGGTTAAAACATTTCCTTTTGTTGCTTGCTCTCACAGGTAGCACTTGGTGCTTGCTCTCACTTGAACCTGCTTAGTCCAAGTCATAAGCCAGGGGAAGAGATGACTGCAATGATAAAGAGTCATTGCACTGTCAACTTCTCCACTGATGGAAAGTGTCTTAAACACCCTTTCTAACAGTTGTGCAGATCTAAATAGGGACCCCACCCATACAAAGACAGAATAATTAAGCTAGTTCACTCTCCTTTGAGGAAAAGTTTTGCTTCTTTACAACTACGGAGGTCCTCGTGCATTGAAATAAACAGCCACATTAGTGGTGGATGCTCTCTTCCTGAACACTAGTGTCCACAAAGATAAACATTCCATTGCAAAGATGGAAAGGACCAGCTGCAACACTCAGAGCTCTCAGCCATCACTAAAATCAGGAACCCTCATCTCATTGCTGTTGAATTCCTTTTATTTCAGCAACATAAGGCAACACTTTCTTGCACAATGCATCTGGACCCCATTCTAAATGTTGGAGACATTTTCAGGTTCCTCATAGCTCCTATAGGGGAGTGTCCATGGCTGTTGTTTTTGGAAGTGCTGACTACAACCCAGATCAAACTGCAAGTGGGCCCTGTATCTCCACACTTTCTACAAGGGGTTACCCCATGAAAGGACACATTCGTATATTTTACATTGAAAATGTTTGGAACCTGTTTGAAGTAACCAATGTGCTGTAGTCAATTTGTTTTAGTCCTAATATTTCTTCATCATTTTCTGCCCATCTGCTCAATTACCTAATAATAACAGAAATCATTAATCCTTTGGTATATCTTTTCCTTGGCAGACAAACTTAATCATTGCTTCCAAGGAATTTATCTGGCTTGTGTTTTCATTTATGTATTATTCTAATTATACACCAATTCTTGTCTTTCCATGAAATAAAATTATACAGTTACACAAGTAACTGAAATAGAATAGTTTCATCAGTAGTATTCCAACTGTATGGAGCTACCCAGTTGAATAAGGAAGCTAGAGATGTAATTAAATTAGAAATTACACATTTAACATGCTAGATCAAGTTTCTAGAGATGTGATGGTTATTATCTGCATGATTTCAAGAAACATAATGAATGACCTGTTTCGCTCTCTCATGCAGAATGGCACGTACATGAAGGCAAAGAATGCTACACACTCTTTCCAGGCAAACCAGATCTTATCTAAAATTTTATAATCGTGTTACAAAATTACCAGAATGAAGCTTCTTTGGAGGATTTTAGTGAAATAACTGAATCAATGGTGAATTGTATGCACATCTATAGAGGGATTCAGCCATTTTTTAAAAATAAATATGCTCTATACAACCAATACAATTCAAATACTTAAATTATTTCTCCCAGTTGAGTGTTCAAATAACAACACCAGAAGTTTTGCATATTTTAAGAGATAATCTGCTAATGAGTTAAAAGTCATTGAACTTGAATAATACATTCCTGGCAATACACATTTTGAATTGCTACTGCTAAACAAACCCCTGGCCTCATCTGTAATCGACAATCATCATTAAATGCCCTGAAGTAGCCTCCAGGCCCTTAGAGAATTTCCTTTCATGCCTCTGAATGAAGTGCTTAATAAATATTTCTTGGATGGCTGCAGGGATATGAGCAATCAGCAGCCTACACTTAGTAAAAAGTATTTCCAAATTTTGATAAATGTTTATCTGATAGTTTGTGGTAATTGTATCATAGTTTATGTTTGGTGTTATTTTGCATATTTATTGATTTATTTTGCCATTTTTTGCCTTTTTTCTCTCTTTGCTACCAGTATTTAAATGTAAAATAGAGACTCTCATTTTTTCTATATAAGCATAATTTTATACTGGAAGTCCAGATCTGGTCTCTCTCAATTCTTATTAAAATTCATCTTTGATTGTGGTTTGTGAGAGGCATATCTTTATAAAGTCCCCACTGTTCTTCCCAAATCATGAGACTGGAATTTACCTAATTGCCTTT